AGAGCTAATTCGAATTTAGAAAGAAAAAGAGAAGGAAAAGAATTCTCAACCAACCTACATTTTTAAGGTTAATTTGGAGCTTATTCATATAAATTAACTTCACCTACATTACAAAACAAGTTTAATTGTTGTTAATTTATAGTTTATGTGCTTTAATAGGTGAATTTTAGGTTTAATTTCAAAAATTAGGGTTAGGGTTCTTGATGAACAAAAATTGGAAAAAAAAATGAAATTAAACTTATAATTCATATAATTGAGGTTAAAATAGGTTGATTAGGCCTAAAATTAAGGTATGAAACTCAAAAAATGAAATTAAACTTATAATTCATATAATTGAGGTTAAAATAGGTTGATTAGGCCTAAAATTAAGGTATGAAACTCAAAAATTTCTAGGGTTCCTTAAGGGACACCATTCAACCTAATTGCTCAAATTAGGGGTTTTTGATAATTTTATATAATTAATGTTTTAAGGCTTAATTATGACTTCATCAGGTATGAATTAATGTTTAGGAATGAAAAATCTCACTTTAATTAAGAAAAATTCATGAAAATCCTTAGGGTATATTCGACCTAAAACTTGAAATTTAGGGTTTGAGTTTCAATCATTTAATTCTACAATTGTTGGTTAATTTATACTTGAATGAGTGTAATTTGATGTATAGGAAAGGAAAATTTTTAGAAAAGCTGAAGAATATGGCTTGGATTTGTTAAGGCTTAATTTCATCCCGTTAATGCCCAATTCGAGGTTAGAGCATGAATTTATACCCTATATGTTAATTAAATTGGTTCCCATGATTAATGTGTATGTAAGCTAATTGATATTAAAATTATAGGATGAAATAAGAAGAAAAGAATAGGGTTTAGGTTTAAGGAAGTTTTGGCCTTAATGAATGAATTTTGGATTTCAATTCTAAAATGGTTCCTAACACCTAAATTGACCAATTCTAGCTTAGAACTACATAATTAAAGGAATTAGAATGGAAACATTCATAAGATCTAAAGATTAATCAATTTAGTAAAATATGGAAGTTAGGCCCAATAAGAAAATAATACATATAATTAGTTAAATAATACCTAATTAAGTTAATTCAATTGAGTTAGAATGTAATTAAAGTGAATTTGATGTGTAATGGATGTTGAAATTGGAAAGAAATGATTAGACGACACTAAGCTATAATTTGTCATAGTTAGGAAAAATGTGAAGCTTGACTTCCTTTGTGTATGATTATGTTTTAATTGGTGTTTAATGTGTTTTGAGTTATGAATGTTGAATGTGATGGAAACGTGGATGGTTGAAATGTTATATGGTTTGAATATTATAAGAATGTTGGTATGCAATGTAATAATTGACATGTATTATGCAAGGTAATTTTTATGTCTTATTATGGCATGACCACATGATTGATTATGGCATGTATTTTATGAGCTAGCATTAGTCATGCATTACTAATGAAATGCAAATACATGCTTAATTTCATGAAAGAAGTTTTAAGTCATGAAAATGTGTTTTATGTCATGGTTTTTCGATAGCAATCGGAAATGTTTTTAAAGGATATGGTTTTCATGACTTTGAGAATTTTCTTGAGGATAGACTTCATGGGTTTTTCATATGTAAATGGTAATGGTTTAAGGCCAAGCAAGCGCGGACGTACACTTTTAGAGGTTCGGTAGGGCATGTCCATGGACTGAGTGCAGTTCACCTAGGACATATATTATGTAAACCCTAAATTACCTAAAATGAAACATGTCCAAAGCTAGAAAAAAAATTCTCGGATCTGTTTATAAAATGTTTTATGACATGGAGAAAGGATGTGTTATACATATATCGGTATTTTATACATGCACATACACTATATGTATAAGTTAACTTAATGGATCGTAGCTCATTTAGTTCCTTGTGATGTAGATCATTAAGGTACAATGGCCTACTCGCGGAGTTGATTTCGAGGGATGCACTCGACGTTTATACCTTAGATGGGGCTTCGGGTTTTGATGGACTTACTTGTATGATATTTTGTTTATAGTATTAGTTATTGTCTTATATGTCTTGGGACTAACCGGATCGTTCTATATTATACTAAAAGCAATGAATAAATAAATGTAGTACTTTAAAAGTAATGTAGTTAGTAAATAAGCCAATTTTATAATTGTTCGGATATAACCGATTTTGTATGTAAATGGTAGCTTGTATGTAACCAAAATACTAATAGTAAAATAGTAGTGTACTCGATAGTAGTGTAGTTGTTTTAAATCGCCCATTGCATACTAGTATCCTTAGGAAACTTAAGCAATTTGATCGGACGCTCATTAAATAAAAAGGACGATAAATAAGAAAAAGAATCGGTAATATAATAATAATAATAATAATAATAACTAAATGGATTTGTAATAATTAATAAGGAAGAAATCTAAGATAATGGATAGCCACAAAACTAGTATTTCAATTCAAGAATGTAAATAAGTAATTAAATACGAAAAAATTATAACATCTTTTTAGTTAAAGTGTAGGACCTACCTATCCAATATTATATTTCTAAGGCATGAATTTCACTCTAGATATTAAGATTAAGTTACAATGTCTTGTTAGCTTGCATTCATTACACTCGTGAGTGTTTGGTTAATGGTGGTAATATTCTCAACCTTATTGGTTCTAGGTTAGGGGTGTTACACACCAAATTCTCATTATCCTAAATCCAAATCATGTTTCTTCTCAACTCTTTCTCTTTATATTCTCTATATTGGAAGAAAATCTAAATATCTAAAAATACCAAAAATCTAAAAATCCTTAATTTCTACATTGCTTGAACCCAAGAGTATTGATTATGGTTGAGAAGTTCAACTTGAGGCTATTTAGGTTGATTGTACAATCAAAGTTTGAAAAAAAAAAAAAAAACAGAGAGAGAGAATTTAAAAAAAAAACACAAATTAATATAGTAAATTTTAAATAATAAAAAATCGAGAAAAAATTATTTAAAAATCACCTTTAATCTAAAAATGTATTTTAGAAAAAATTATATATATTAATCATGCCACTATAATCTAAAAATTATCTAAATCTATTTTTTTCAAAAAATAATGATCATGTTCTAAAATTTATTCCAAAATCCATACATATAGAAAAATAAATCAAATTTGTTAGTAAATATAATTTTAAATTAATTAGGTGAGAATTTAATAAAATGTCAAATTAAAGTAGTAAATTTTAAATAATAAAAATAATTAATAAAAATACTAAAATAAAATGGGACCAAATCACAATATAATCAAAGTTTGAAATTTAAAAAAAAAAAGAGAAAATTTTAAAAAAATGACAAATTAATGTAGTAAATTTAAAGTAATATAAAAAATCGAGAGTAAATTATTTGAAATACACTTTTAATTTAAAAATATATTTCAAACAAATTATATATATTAATCATGCCATTAAAATTTAAAAATTATCTAAATTCAAAAGGAAAAATAATCATATTCTAAAAATTTATTTCAAAATCCATACATATAGAAAATAAATCAAAAATATCAGTAAATATAATTTTAAATTAATTAGATGAGAATTAAAAAAAAATGACAAATTAAAGTAGTAAATTTTAAATAATAAAAATAATTAACAAAAAATAACAAAACAAAATGGGACCAAATCACAATATAATCAAAGTTTGAAATTAAAAAAAGAAAAGAAAACAGAATTTGTTTTTAAAAAAATGACAAATTAATGTAGTAAATTTTAAATAATAAAAAAATTGAGAAAAAATCCAAAAATGTATTCTAAACAAATTATATATTTTAATCATGCCACTGTAATTTAAAAATTATCTAAATCTATTTTTTTAAAAAAATAATGGTCATGTTCTAAAAATTTATTCCAAAATCCATATATATATATAAATAAATCAAAATTGTTAGTAAATATAATTTTAAATTAACTAGATGACAATTTAATAAAATAAAAAATTAAAGTAGTAAATTTTAAATAATAAAAATAATTAATAAAAAATACTAAAATAAAATAGGACCAAATCAAAATATAATCAAATTTTGAAATTGAAAAAAAAAGATAAAATATTAAAAAAAATGACAAATTAATGTAGTAAATTTAAAATAATATAAAAAACTGAGAATAAATTATTTGAAATACACTTTTAATTTAAAAATATATTTCAAAAAAATTATATATATTAATCATGCCACTATAATTTAAAAATTATCTAAATTCAAAAGAAAAAAATAATGATGTTCTAAAAATTTATTTCAAAATCCATACATATAGAAAAATAAATCAAAACTATCGAGTAAATATAATTTTAAATTAATTGGATGAGAATTTTTTAAAAAAAGACAATTAAAGTAGTAAATTGTAAATAATAAAAATAAAAAATAAAAAACACTAAAACAAAATGAGACCAAATCACAATATAATTAAAGTTTGAAATTGAAAAAAGAAAGAGAATTTTAAAAAATGACAAATTAAAGTAGTAAATTTTAAATAATAAAAATAATTAACAAAAAACACTAAAACAAAATGAGACCAAATCACAATACAATTAAAGTTTGAAATTGAAGAAAAAGAGAAATTAAGGATCAAAGTGTTACAAAAATATCATGAATAGTAAAAGAAATAATGATTAGTGAGAGTATGAATAGTATTTTAAATAATAAATGAATAATAAAATTATGTTTTGCTTTAGTTTTATTGATAATCTCTGATTACAAAGATCAACTGACAATAATAGATTCCACCTTCAAAGTAAGTAGGTAATACTAGAATGCTAATTGCTGTCCTGTTTGGTACTACCATCAACGACCTTCAGTCCCCCCGAGCTAGTATGGCGGACAACACTAATGAGGTCACCATCAGTTACAAGCAAAACTTTAACACCTTTATCATCTTCATGCATAAGTTAGGGTCGATGTTGCTCATTTTCAGCACCGATCTATTGCAAGACAGCGGAAAGAAGCTCATTTGAATTCTCAGTGCCATAATTGATTCAATGTACACGGCCCTATAGATCCTCAAATTTGAAGGCAAATGAAATTTCAAGACTAAGAGATGGATACCTTCCAAGTTCTACCCCATCTGATGTCTTTAGGGCACACATTTCACTTTGGGTGTCATAATCATCTGGTGGTTTTAAAGCAAGAGCAGAATCCCAAAACATTTGCATTAGTGTATTGGCTATATCATTAATAGCTTCAGAGCTACTTTCAACCATGTAAATTGCTGCATGAGTTATCTACAAAACATCATTTCCATAAGAGTCAACCCAAGAGAAAGATTCTGTGCCATAACTTGGATGATAATATCCTTTGAAGTGAGTATCCCTGAATTTTGTTCCCAGTCAAAACAAGAACAGAATTAACCTGCAACTCGTGCATCGTTTTCGTAGCAACATAGATAGGATATGATGGTGAAGCAACCACAACCTTTTTTTTGTTCACCAATAATTATTGACAAAGAAGGCCTGAACATTCGTTCCATCAGAGTTTCTATAAATGTATGAGGAACAGTAAAAATGTTTCCCCATTGACTTTCCATGCCTTCCACAGCAGCAGTAATGGCACTCCCCTGCTCAGTAGCCTTCTCCATTCTAGATATAGCATCATAGAGGCACTTTGAAATATCCAGCAATATAATAACTTCACCATTCTACAGCACAAGGAGGTGCCTGAACTTGCTCTGCATCATCTTCTAAAGCGCTTTAATGGCTAACGAATCTAAGATAACAAAAATAGGATTCCTTATTATAATCTTCGATACTACTGTTTACTCTGGCCTCAACCCCTCTGATATCACTCTCACCAAAATATCCTCGTCAATAACAATCCTAGAAAGTAAAGCATTAGCATCAGTCAATGAAACAACATTGACACGACGAGCTTCCATTCTCCTACAAGCATCAGACACTATGGTCCCCTCCAGAATCGTTAGTGCTTTCGATAACCTCAATTTCTTCACTATCCTTTCTCCTCCCACAGACGACGGCGTGTCAAGACAGGGGGCTTGGAGGTGCTGCCACCGTGGAAGGAGGTGTCACCATTCTCTAACGTCTGCACCGCCAATGAGGAGGATGATTTTTTGGCTAGGTTTGGGCCTCGTTTATGGGTGAGTGGATGGTTGTGGCTATTGTGAGATCGACGAGGTTTGTCGTGATAGAAGGGCCTGGTTTCGAGGCTTTGTGGTGGCTGAAGAGAGGAGGACAATGGCTACTATGGCTGAGGAGTGCCTAGCCGACGGTGAGGGAGGAGGAGGGGCTATGGTCGATGACGTGGCTGGCAGTTGGGTCTTTCTCTCTCCTAAGTTTATATATATATATATATCTTGTGAACAGTAGCCTCCCGTTAAAACGGGGGAGCAGGGGTATTTACAGAGATTAATTAGGCTTTAGGGTAAAGTTTAATTTTAGTTCTTGGTTTTTTTGCATTTGTTAATTTTGATGCCATTTTTTTCGCTTGAATTTCAATGACACCCTTTAATTGGAATTAATTAGGACATATTCTTTTATTTTTCCTCAATTGTACCATTCCTTTCTTTTAATTAAGAATTTGGGGGTTTGGACTTTTTAATTGCACCATCGATTGGTTTTTTAAATTATTTTTTAAACTTTCTATTTCTTTTAATTAGACTCTCCAAATCATTTTTCAAATAAGTCTCTTTTCTTTTTCTTCTCTCTCTCTCTCTCTCTCTCTCTCTCTCTTTTAACTCATAAATTTAAACAAATTAATTGGGATAAAAATTAGATGCGAATAGTTATCCCCACTTTACAATGACTTTTATAATGCTTTTAGTGCAAAGTCATTGAAAATTACATTCTTTGACTTTGCATCGAAAGCTTTGTAAGAAAAATCAAAAGGAAACGAAACATATAAAACATAAGCGACAAACAAGTAAAAGAGAGAATCATCAAATTTAAATGACAATTGACTATTCAATCAAATAAGTTGGAAAAAAAAAACATGCAACTAGATAGAAAAAAGATGCATGATGACATGGTTTAAAATAGATGCATGACAACATGGCTTAAAGAGAAGAAAATATAAGACATAAAAGACCACACAAAGTCAAAATAGAAACAAGCAAAACACTAGTAACCATATTATAGTTTTAGAGAAGCATAGGTTGTTACTACGAAGACATGAATTTCCTTCCCTTTTCTTTTTACTTGTGTGTTTTCCAGCTTCAATAGGTTTAAAGTCTTAAGCCAACTCGCTTTTATTGAGCTTGTCTACTTATTTATTGCATTTTTGATTATGTCATCTGTTCTTGTGTTCATTGGGAGAGTTGTTTAGGCCAATGCTTGTTTAATTTATGTTGTGTTCGTTCTTTTGATTGAATAAGAGATCTTTGTTCTTTTATGTCCCCTTGGTATTGTCCCTAAATAATTAGACTTTTGCTTGCACATATAAAAAATCTAGTTCTAAAATGGTTGAGATGGCATGTCATCTCAATTGTCTATAATTCATCATGAGAAAACTTGTAACAAATTTCTTAGAGGAAGACCCCTTGTTACCCGTGTTCAAGTAAGATTCTTATCATGTTATCATATGCCAATTTGATTTAATATCACATTTCATGAACAACATCAATTACGGGATCGTGCATAAGACCAAAGAAGAGTGTTTTTTTTATTATTTATTTTTATGGACTGGTCATATTCATAAAAAAAAGGATTTTTTTAAAAGATGAAAGATCATATTATGTTGGACGAATCAAGAATAGAAGAAGCAAATTCAAATGATCATGCTAATGAATATTTAGTAATAACTCGATTATCTCCTTGTTGCTTTGAAGAGGAGGGGAGTTAAAATGCTTGGTCTTCTGGAGTCGACACAATTTTGTGATCAATCCGATCATAGCATGCTTTCAAAGTATTAGTAGTGATCATCCATTTGACATCTCCCTTTCATTGTCATTGCTCATATTGTTCATCTTCTATTGACCTTTGCGCTCGATTATGTGAACTTATCTTTAAGACTTTTTAAATTCTCATAAAATCATTTTTATTTGTTTTGAATTTTATGGATTAAGCCATCTATTTGAAAATTTTTCATTAAGGCAAGTTAAATTATCTAAAAGAAATCATAGAGATGTTCACAAGAATTTAATCTCATTCAAAAAAAAAAATTAATTATGTGGTCAAAAAGCCAAAATGCATCATGCAAATATCATGATTCAACTCTCAAAGTGTTCCTTCTTTAAGCCAAGTGGGTAAAATATATTTGGATCATATCGAAGGTTTTAAAAAGAAGTAGTCTCTTTTAAAAGGTGATTTGACAAAAGTTTGTTCCCGAATGTGATGTGCTTGGATGAATTTTATGAACTCAAATAGTTTTGAAGCAAGTTAGGCTCAAATAGGCGATCTTGCCTAGAAAGAATCGATTCATTTCTTTCTTGCCCTAGTTACTTGATGAAAATTCATGATTTGGTGTCATACATAATGGTTTGTAATACACATACAAGTCAAGTTTTATTAAAAAATGTTTGTCTTCCTCTCATTTGAAGCTAGAACTCATCAACACAAACAAGTCATCTTTGATTAAAAAAGGGCTTTCATAGGCATATAATGCAAGCTAGGGCTTTAAATAATGAATAAGGGGATATAAAGACTCAAGATCACTTAATCATCTATTGAGATTAGTTTAGGTATGCCATCCTAACTTTGTCATTTTGATAATTGGTTTAGCTTTTCATATCATTTAACACTCATAAAGAATCATACTAGACTTGCCACCATGATCTTTAAGCTAATTGATCTAATTTTCTAATCTTAGCTCTCCTTTTATGTTTACTCATGTCATTATTATTATTATTATTATTGAATTTTTAACCCTTTTTAACTTCTAATCATGAGAGGGGTCACTCTTGATAACCTTTTTTTTTTTTTAACCTTAATGACACTTTTGTGTTTTGCTTTTCTTTTTTTATTCTCCTTCCTCTTTCAAAGTTGTTTTAAGGGTTTTCTCGACAAGTTTTTTTGAACAATCATCATCATTTCTCATCTTGCTTTTCTAGGACAACATCTTTGATTATTTATGAACTTCAAAACTATCCCTAGTCTAAAAGGGTGATCCTAGTCTAGGTATCATCGAAAGAAATCTTTTAGGCTCAAAGTTGGACAAAAAGGGATAAGTTTTTATTTGTGAAAATAAATACCAAAAATGAACTTTTTTCATCTTAAATATGATTTTGTTCAAGCTGATATGTTCTAATTTATCCGAAAACTATGATTGACTTATAGAGAAGATGTGGTGGACAAGGTGAGATCATGACACGAATGTGTATCACTCATCATCATTTAAAACATCAAATCATTTATTTTTTATATTGGGCATCTATGTATTATCCTAGGCAAGACTTTCCTTAAAAGGGTTTATCAAGAATGGGAAAAAGTGTTTTGTTTTCGAAAGAAGGGCTACCACCTAGCATTTGTATGACATGTTTTAAATGTTGATTAATATTGAAAGATTTTGAATGAGTTTGCAATTTTATTCATTTTTATTTAGATAATATAAAATGACAATGATACTTTCAAATAAACGTCTCTTGATTTCAAATCGATAATAAATCATGCTATGATAGTAGCATTTTCTTTTTACGAAGCAATCCAATCTATGAAAATCATAACACTTTTGAAAATGAAATCTAAAAAATTTAATATAAGACAAGATTCCATTCACAAAATCAAGACATGTTCATGCTTTTTTTTTTTTTTTTTTAATATAAACTCCATGTATTCTCCTTGTATTAATCCTTGTGCATATCATAACCAGAGTTAAGGTAACACTCTTTTTTGGCATAATCACTTGGTTTTTTTGTTTTCGAGATATGATCTTATTGAATGTCCTAAAGATATGGTGAAAATATGAATAAAACAAATAGAAAATAAGGTAAAGATGACAATTTGAGAAGAAAATTTATACAATCCCATTAAATTAACATCATATGAAAGCATGATAAAGATTCCGTGCATAACATTCATAAACTATAAAGGTAGAAAAGCAAAGATAGCTGCGATAAGCAAATTACTTGACCTTGAAAACAAAAAGCATTTCTTCATCAAACTTATCATAATTGAAATTTTGGTTTATATTTATTTTTTTGTATTTTTTATTGATTTTATTTATATTTTATTTTATGTTATTTTTCATATTTATTTTAGTCAATTTTAATAGTGTTATGTTTTATTTTTTGTAAGGAAAAAAAAGGAAGAAATAAGAAAAAAAAATTACATAATAAATTTATCAAAAAAAAAAAAAAGAAAGAAAGAAAGAAAGAAAGAAAGAAAGAAAGAGAATACAAAAAATATAATCAAAGAAAAAAAAATCTTGCATGAAATAATTGGTTAGGGATATAATTGAAGGAAATGAGAACTCGAAATTGAAAAAAATTAGATATGAAATTGAAAGTCAATTAGGGATGAAATTAAATGAAATAAGGGTGCAAATGAATGAAATTAGATATTAATTTGAAAGCAATAAGGGTACAATTGAATTGAAAACCATGGATGTTATTGCTAAAGATTGAAACACATAAGAACTAAGTTGGAATTAGGAAGCGAACGACAAGACCAAAACTAATCAAACAACCTATCGTTCATTACAACCTAGACAAAATTCTTTAAAAAACAATTCCGTGATTCGTAGCTAGTAATTGCACTAGCCAATAATCACACTACACACACCTCTGCACCCACTTCAACACACCTTTATACCAACTTATACACACACAGATTGCAAATTAGTGTACAATTTTGCTTTGTTCATAAAATGGCAAGAACACCGAGAGCATATGTCTTTGATTTTATTGGACAAAGAGTCCGATTGATTGAGATTGATCCTTGGGTGAAGGATGATTCGAGGTTGGCTATAAATTAAGCCCTATTATAGGCTTTAAAGAAGAGATTTAAAGAGGATTTTTGGGAGGAGAGAGAGGATTTTGGGGATTTGAGGATTGTTGAATTTTTGGGATTTGCATAGAAATTTTTTATGTTTTGGGGGTTTTCATGTTTTTAGTTTTGATAGCAACATAGCTTGAATTTAT